ACCACTACGATTGGCTCCAGTCCACACTATCCAACAATCACCCACTCGTATTGTCACACGTTTGGACCAGCGGGCTGTTGCCGCTATTATCTAGACAAGTCCTCACGGGCGTGCTGGAGACAAAACCTCGCAACTCGTGGCCACTGGCATACCCCCGCACATCCCACTCTACATTCAAATGCAATCGGTAAAATCGGTGGTTCAATATCTTGAGAATTACAGTTGGACACCTTACAGATCTAGTTGGAACAACCATACGACACCAGCTCCATGGCACCTACGACGAAGCAATTACAATGGAAGTGATAAACAAACCATTGCAATCATTTGTTCATAACCTCTTGCAAAACATGGCTATGATGAGGTCACCGAGGAGTGAAAACGACAGCCCAACCGGCGAGCGGGCCCCAACTCAACAGCCGCCCCATGGTGGGCTCATCAACGTGACTTGGTGTGCTCCAAACTGTCGTGCCCTAAGGGTAAGGTGTACGACGCGTGGAATCTATGGTGGGATGGCAGTCAGGTGGACAGTGTCCCTCCATTTCGAAGGTGCACCTCGTAGGATTTTGCCACGAGGACGGATCAAGGGAACTTTTCCAAGGCCAAGAAGGTGACCTTGGCGCTCCTATAGTTCTCGCACAAGACAGCATACGAAGTGATTGCAATAGACATACCTGTGCCGCAGAGGTATGTCCATCAGGGCCACCACATTTCGGCGCCGTTTGCCGTTCACATCGAGTACTAAGTCGAAGAAATCCAGGAAGGCTGTAGTACTCAATGAATCTTCGGCGTGTCGTCGGCAACAATGCGAGCAACACCTTCTCGTAACCACGCAACTAAATTGGTCATCAAAATGAATTGTGTTTGTTTGTTTGGTTTGATTGTAACTATGTGTGAAGTTAATGGCTGTGGTTGCATTCGATTTGCACGGAAATGAATGGCCTTTGTTTACAGCACTTTGATATTGATTTTGTGAATGGACGCTAGATAATTCTCGAAAACTCAATACTTATTCTTTTGTAGAGGCCAGGTCAATACTTTTTCTCTCTCGATGTGCAAACGAATTATTTATTCTTTTGAAAGGACTTCAGAATAATTCATTTTTTCCAGCTCATACCCTACGTACCTAGTTTATGGGACCTCCTCCTGACGGTCAAACTCGTGACGAGTTTCCTATGGCTTACCTTGAGCACATCGCCGACGAAGTCATTGCAGGTATGGACCGTGGATGAAAATGTAACTTATACATTTACAGATGTCGACGTGAATCGCATGCACCGTTGCTCGTTGCGGGTCGAATACTTCTAAGGCTGCGCGGAGAACATGGAAGACATGGAAGTTGGAGTCTGGTCGACCAACAATTGCATTTTACGTCGAAAGTCAGATTGATTTACATTTTTTATTGTCCTACATAATCCAGAAAATGACATGAAAGATAGGCGAAAATAGCGGCATCATATTGTCGATTTTCTTCAAATTTCCCAATTTTGCATGGTTCGTTTAATCGAGCACAAATAGAGCCGAGACATCTGATTGGCCATTATCCACTTCGCCCTTTCCAGTAGAAACTCGAAAATTGATTGTAGCCAATCAGCGACAAGCAATTTCGGATTGACCAATGGGAGATATTGGTGCTCGATTCGCTCGGCGAGATTCGATTGAACAGGGTCCGGAAATTCATACCGAATCTCCAATACCGTAATGCACGGCGCATAATATTTTCGATTTGTTGAAAACAAATTGGCCAGGCTTTAATTAATTCCACTTACAAATGCCTAGTGATTAAATTTGAGAAATTATTTGTTCGAACAAGTAGGGAAAACGTAATGAAGATTGCACTGCGTTTCATTGGACCAATCACATCGCTAGAAAATAGGAATTTACGTACAGTATGATGTGGCAAGCGCTGCAGGAGGGGCTTGTTCCATCGTTTTGAAGAATGAGCGAAAGCCCGCGAGATCTTCGGTTGAATTTCTATTTTCGCTCGAAATATATGGATTGCACTCCGAAATATATTGAGCCACTCGCTGAATTGAGCACATACCGGTACAGTGAGTGACACATAAGGAACATCGCTTGAAATATATTGCAACCACCTTGGTTGCAGGCTAAATATAACGAATATACAATAAACAAAGTGGAACAGCCGCGAATTGGTTGTTCATTTCGCGAAAAAGTATGGTGAGGTCTTCAAATTAACCGAAAAAAGGTGTAGTACAGTTAGTACATGATAGAAACTGGAGATTTTCATAACGTAGATGGCCAGTTTATGGTGCACGGGACAGTTTAAAGTGCACTCAAATTAGCCAATTGAATTGCTTGAATTTTGAATAGCCAATCGAATCGCTAGAAATATGAAATCACCAAAAAATAAGCAAAATCCGCATACATATTTTAAGCTTAAATCGTGCACCACAAATCCTCCTATTTTGTCTTGATTTGAGTGAAAATCGAAGTAAATGAACGCCAAGGTGAAGCGATTCAAGTCGATTATATAATCAGAAGAATGCCCAACCTTTCGGCTTCACGCACCACTTTCAGAATTGAAATCCCGGTCCTGAGAGACGAATAAGGTGCATTGTACGTCGAGGCCGCTTTCAAGTGCACGATAAATTGGCCATTTACGTTACAATCTCGAATGCAGCGGCCTTGCGAACTGCGTCGACATCCGAAAAGTGTATTTTCTACGAACGTCACCAATGATTTTCGCGCGACTGGATTGTGGCCTCTGTCGAAAGAACAAATGGTCAAGTGATATAACGTTTTCAAGAACTGTGGTGTACCGAATTCGTAGTGGAGGCCCTATGGATCGAAACGTAGATGGTCGTTCGAAGTGAGGTGATGTGCCTAACAAGCAAGGGAAAGAAGAAGACAACACGAAGACGCATCTTAAGTTGGGGGTTGATGCGACTTGTTCCTATTTCAATTGTGATGGTGATGCATTTTAGGCGGGCGAAAATTACCTTGGCGTTGCTCAACGACATGGGCAAAACGTCATTAAGTGTGTGACAAATATAGGACCTCTTCCTCAGTGCCGAGTTACTTCCATTTCACGACGACGTCTCCAAGATATATCTATTAACATGGTCGTCAGTATCGAGTCCACTTTCTCCATATCTCGGTCAAATCACTATATTTTTCAATGTTGACGAGCTGTATACCAGATTACTGCCGTGTCCGATTGACTGTTAAAAGCAATATTGCGTGAGATACAATACAAACTACGAGAAATTTAAAATGATACCAGTTATCTGATATCCTCTAATACTGTAAATGGTACTTGTAGGATTGGAGTAAGTTCGAAAGTTCTCTTAGTCGGAAAACGTTTAGGGTGCGTCTGGTAACATTTCAAAAAGAATATTCCATTTTCTACCACAATAGGATTAACCAAAATACCATTTTCAAAATGGAGGTAAAAGGTCCATTTTGTAATGTGGCGTTTTGGACCTCTTCAACGAGTAAATCCCACGTGGAATTATTGGATTTGGGTTAAAACTCTTCAAGCAAGATATGTTCCAATTTTGATCAGATTTGTTGAATTCGGCCCCAAAATGGCGTTTTGGGCCTGAATATTGCAATATACTTCGAAGTATCCGTTTACCAGACGCACCCTTAGCATACTTCGAAGTATGATACTACAGTAGTATTATTAATACGTAGTACAATTTAGAAATGACTTGAACTCTACGATATTGCAGCATGCACCAAGTTGCATGCATAAAACAGAAATATCAAGGTGAAATGACTGTGCGAAA